ATGTTGACTGTCCTTCCTGGCTTGGATATAACTGGGATGCTAACATAACCACCTTCACCAAAAAACACAGATCAGAGGCTGAAGAAACAAATTCTTCAAAATGAAAAATGAAGAAATTGTGCAGCATCTCTACAGTTCAAGGGCTTTTCTCTAGAGCATGAAAAGACCACTGTTCTTTTTTTCTTAAAACTAATCACATTTTAATAAAAGGCCATTTGTTGCATTAATAAGGAAGCATAGCAAATCTTTCTCACAGGAGCATCAATGCCTTCAAGCAAGACAGCTGCACTCAGCACTGCTAACTCTCAGATGTTGATTCAAGCTGTCTTCATTTTTCAATAATGAAAGTTTTTATAGTACCATGCAGAGTAAGCAATGAATAAATCTGCATGTGTTGGAGGCTTTGTTTGCCATGAAAGTCCTCTCCAGGACATAAACACTCTGACTCCCCAGAGAACTTCACACTTGATGGGGCTGGTACCCATCAAGTACAGCCTTCTTGAGGAGTTGCAGTGAGTAGGCAGCGACTACAGATTCTTTAATACACAACTACACCCATGCATTTAAGCACAGTTCTCCACTTCTCAACAGTCACTTGGGCACCCAGAGCCCTCATTCTCATAAAAGTCTCTTGGGCTGAGTCCAGCTCTCTGAACAAGCTAATGTTCATGTCTGCAGGTCTGAACTGTGGGCTGGCTGGCAGCTGAGAGAGCAGGAGAATCAAATTAAAGGGAGCACCAATGAAAAAAGTGTTTAAGTATAAATTTGCTCCAGTTACAAGAATGTCTTCTCATCAAATGGACAAAAAAGGATATATGGGCACACAAGGGATTCACCATTCAAATTCTAATTGCTGATAACCTACTAATCTTCCCTTGTCTAGAGAAAAATACAGTTTCACCTCATTAGAGCAGAACAAGACATTGTTAATGCCTTTGGGAAAACTCACAAGGGTTTGTCCTCCTTCAACTCATTCTTGACCTTTATATTAACATTCTAGCTGGTCTCAACATGTATTAGCTTGGAATTAATATAATCAGTAGCTTCAGTAGTAGCACAATTTTTCTGCTGGCTAATTTAAACTTCTTTAAGCAAGTAACTAATAAGTCTGATGTTTAATTCCTGCTCGATTTAGAAAATTAATGAATTCAAAGTCTGAGTTTGCTTTCTTTTCAATATGGAACAAATAACATGTTTTCTTACTATGTTCTCCCCTAAATTGCTGATGCAGCAGTCTCAAAAACCACAACCTTAATCTCAGAGGCTGACAGGCTTTGTATTTCAGGTGAATAATGGGACTATTAAATGGATTCGATTTTGTGAAGTACCTACCAGACTGTCTTCATATTTTCATGTGATGTGAATTATGAGGTGCTTTTTTCACTTTGGCTGCAGCAGGGCATAGAAATCATTAGTTTCAAATATTTTCCTGCATATCCAAAACCATTATAATTTAATATTTTGTAACTTTTAAAAGTATAATAATAAGTGCATATCTAATAATATTGTAATGCCTTTAGTAATACTATTAGAAATGTTTTATATATTATTGTTTATATTAAAAATACATATAATTTGTCATATGTATCAGTGCCCACCTCGTCCCAACAAACAGTACACACAACAATAAACAGGAAGTGGAATTTTTAACCACCCTGAATTACAGTAGATATGCTGCCCTTGACTCTTGAAGTCCATTAGCCAGGGGCAATTATATCTCCTGGGGAATCCTGTTGCAAAGCATTTCGTTTCATAATGTACTATTATGACCTAAAGAACATACATATATATACAAAACTTAAAGCCTGAGCTGACAGTCTCTCCTGCTCTTTGCCATCCCCTCAGCTGGCAAGGGTTCTGACATTTCAGCTTAAAACACAAATTTCACTACTGCTTTTATAAGGTGCCATAGAGATGCATGGAAAGGCTTTTAAAAGCTCCATTTACTTTACTGTGTGTTTGTATTACAGTGACACAGAACCCTCCACAAAAATCGAGCCTGCCCTTGTGCAGACCCATCTGCTCCCCCCACCTCCCTCTCTGCCTTCCTGCCCCCAAGAGCTGCCTGGCAGCTTTGCAGGACAGGGCTCTCAGTCACTGCAGAGAATTTGAGCAAACAAAGAGATTCCAGCTCTCAGTCACTAGGGCAACACTGCCTTTCTGTGGCAGCTTTTCCGTCAGTGGAATGTTCAGGACCCTCCCCTGAAGTCCAGTTGGAGGAGTTTTCCTCCTTGAAATCAGCCAGCTCCATGGTACTTTTATTTATTTTAAAAGCTTTTCTTTGCAGATGAGCAGTGGTAGACATAGCTGGAGTTCTTCTTTCTAGCCACAAACCAGAGGTTCAGGATGACATGGAGCAAGTTCTGCCATTTCACAGAAGTATTTCTACAAAGAGTACCCATAGCCCAGGCAGGAACTGCTCAGGGTTCAAACACCAAGTGAAAAGACCACATAAGAACCACACTGAAATTTTTTCCTATCCATGATACAATTTGGTTGAAGAAAATTCTCTGCATTTCGCATAAACCAGTAGAATTCCCACAGTATTGAGACATTTAATTTAAAAGTATAACAGAGCTTGCAAAGCTTTCAAATCTTGGAAGTGTTGAAACTGCTTCTTTTATTTTTAAATGACAGCTCCAAAATTTGTTTGAAAATTACCAGCTTTAAAACTGATATGGTAAGAGGGTCAACTTACATAAATTCTGAATACGTAAGATCATCTCATTCCTGAAAGGCATTTAAATAAACCAGACTGTTCCACACCAGCACTGTCACAGGCAAATCTTGGGTTAAAATGCTCTCATTTTTAATAGTGTCTCTCTTATATTAAGAATATTCATCCATAAAGTTTCATAATTTTACAGAAATGTTCCTTTGTAGTTTCTTGATTTAATCTCTTTGGCCTATTTCACCTTTAAGAACTCTTCAGCTTGACAGACTGGATCCAGCTTTGGCTTTTAAGACACACTTTGCCATTTTGTGTGTCAGCCTTAATCCATTTGTCTGTTTCATCCCTTTGATTCATGTGACCTGGAAAAGAGAGTTGTCTTAGTTTAATTTGACACACAGTAAACACATCATCTTCATATTGTCATTTTTTTCCAAGCTCCCTGGAAGCAATTATAGCACTTTTATTTGGTAGAATTTGTGTACTTTTAGCAGAGACATTTCCTTTTTGACACAGTTTTTTTGCATTTATCTAATTTCTGATAATACATCTTTACAACAGAGTAGTGGTTTTTATTATATAATACTGCACTTTTTATTCTAAGCTAAGAAATAAATGTGTTATGGTGGGTTGACCCTAGTTGGCTGTCAGGTACCTACCAAAGCCATTCTACCACTCCCCTCCTCAAATGAATAGGCCAGAGAAAATATAACAAGAGGCTCATGGATCAAGATAAGGGCAGGGAGATTTCAGTTTCCAATTGCTGTCACAGGGAAAACAGACTTGACTTGGGAAAAAACTAGTTTCATTTATTCCAAATCAACTCAGAGAAGGGTAACAAAAATAAAGCCAAATCTTAAAAACATATCCCACTCACCCCTCCCTTTGTTCCAGGCTTAATTTCACTGCTATTTCTCTACTTCCTCCCCACCAGAGGCACAGGGGGATGGAGAATGAGGGTTTTGGTCAGTCCACATAATCTCTGCCACTCCTGCCTCTGCAGGAGGAGAGCTCCTCATGCTCTTCCCCTGCTCTGACAGAGTCCTCCACAAGCTGCAGGTGGATCTCTGCAGCCCTGCAGACCTCCAGGGGCTGCAGGGGAATCTCTACTCTGGAACACCTCCTGCCCCTGCTTCTGCACTGGCCTGCACATCAGCAGGGCTGCTTCTCTCATGTATTTTCACTCCTCTCTCCAGCTGCTGGTGTGCAGTGGGGTTTTTCCTGTTTGACTGTGTTATTTGTCATCACTGATGGGTTCAACCCTTTCCAGTGCTGAGTCTATCTTGGAGCAGGCTGGTGCTGTCTCTGTAGGACACAAGGGAAGCTTCTGGCAGTTTCTAACAGAAGCCACCCCTAAAGCCCCTCCCAGCAACCTTGCCACACAAGCCCTACATGTACTGGTTTTCTCTGGGATAGGTTTTATTTTAATAGTAGCTAGGATGGACCAACACTGATGAAAACAGTGTTAGACAATATATAAAATTTGTTATTTCTGAGTGGCCCTTTCAGAGTATCAAGACCTTTTCTTCTTCTAATACTGATCTCTGCCAGGACAGGTGACCCCACATGACCAAAGGGATACTCTGAACTGTATGGTGTAATGTTCTGCATCAGAGCTGGCAGGAGGAGGATCAGGGGACATTCAGAGTGATAGCATTTATCTGAGCCAGTACCTGTTACATGAGATACAGTCTTGCTTTCCTGGGCATGGCTGAACACCTGCCTGCCCTGGGAAGTAGTGAAAGAATCCCTTATTTTACTTGGCTTGCGTGCATAGCTTTTGCTTTATCCATTAAAGTCTTCATTTCAAAGTATCTTTATCCCAACCATGACTTTTCTCACTTTTACTTTTCTGCTTCTCTCCCCCATCCCACTGGTGGGGAGTGAGTGGCAGCCTGGTGCTCAGTAGCCAGTTCTGGTTAAGCCATTACTCTACATGAGATACTGATCTGGCTAAGTAATTACAAAGATTTTAATTGTTATTGTAAACACTGAAAAGAGACATGGTAAGACCTGATTGTCCAGATGCCTGGACATTTTGTTACTATTACTGTTTCCTTATGATAATGGCCTAAAAAAAACCCAGAACCAGGAGGTATCTGTCTTCTTACATGCTTCCATACACTTGGTATTCACAGTCATGCTCTGAAAAGCTCACTGTATAACAGAGTTCAACTCAGTCTCATTTTATAATTAAGAAACTGAGGCCAAGAGAGAATAAGTGACCTTCCAAATTTATACAAAAGTTTTGTGTCCATATTGGGAATTAAACTGGGATCTTTAAAGTCCCAAATCAGTGTCTTTATCACAAGATCAACCTTCACTTTGGTTTATTTTACAAAATATCATTTATTATTACTTTACTGTTCATTTAACTTTGTGAATTCTAAGTTTAGAATAATTTGAGCCTGGAATAACACAAGGGATGGCAGGGAAGCAGATTCTGAACCAATTTTGCAAACATGCTCTGCTCTGTAACACAGCTGAAATTAAATTCTGGCCACAGCAAAAACAGTGGCAAAACTCCAACTGACATCACTGCATTGGTTTCCACAACTCAGGCCTATGTGCCAGAACTTTTCAATAGTGTTTCAGTGCTTTAGCAGCTCTAAGTGGGATTGATTTAAGTTTATGGGCCAAACCCACAACAATTCACAATAGGCTGAGGTATGGTTTGGAAGTACAGAGTTCTCAGAGGAGTCCAACAATGTCAGAGTCACTTCAGTGTCCCTTGTTATCAGACTACAACATGCCTTCAGGTGTCTCCAAGGGGATGTCCTGCTACAATTTCTGCACTCCTCATTGCTCCAGACAGCAGCAGTCTCAACCACACTCCGTGTCAGTAACATTCCTACAGTAAAACAAAATCCACAGACCTCTACTCATCATCTAACTGTGATGAATCACCAAGTTGGACAAATGTGTTGTATATGGAATCCATTAAAATTTGAAAGTTCAGTTCCTCAAAGCTTTCCCAAATCACTAATTTTCAATAGGATTGTATCAGAGAATAAAGAACAAAAATTAAAACAGAATCTGTCTTTTAAACATAGATAACACTTAAAACATTTAATCAGTCTGTTTTTTAAACAGGAATCAACCTCCTGGTGACAAGAAATTGAACCTTCTACAACAAAGAAGTATAAAGGAAAATTTCAGCTGATCCTTTAACAGAGCTGTAGAACACTAAAAATACAGCTTTTTCTCTTAGGGAGAGAGGACAGAAATGCAGGGCAGAAATATATTTCCAGAAGGTGCATATTGGAGTGCCTGGTCTCAGTTCCTCTCTCTCATGTTTTTGTGACTATGGCTTGTACTTCTGTAAAAGAAACAAATACTGAAGCACAGAATCAGTGCTGTAAATTGTTTAATGCACTGCTTACACCCTGGTAAAAAAGTTAAAGAAGAGTTTAAGGAACACAGGAACAAATTTCCAAGAGCCATTTTAAAGCCGAGTTGCTGTCTGAGCTCTGCTTCTCATTTTGTTTTTCCCATGTGAATGCAGAAAAAAGTTTTGTTCCTTATACTTCTGGAAATTTGCCTGTGAGGCAAATATTAAGATTATTAAGCCCATCACTAGTAGGAGGTTCAAAGTTATTTCCTATATTTAAATTACTTTATGTATGAGGCATTAATCAAGCAACAAGGTTTAGCTGGAGACCTTTTGATGACCGCTAGGGTCTTAACTGTACTCACTGCTTGTACTCTGAATACCATGAGAACCTAAGTGGATTTTGAGGAAGACTTTACTAGCTTGATTAAATCACAAAAGCAAACAGCCTCCTGGACTGAGAAGGGGGGGTGGGGGTGGGCAGGGGGAAGGAAATTAATTTCCAAACCTACCAGTCAAGACAGCAGTTAAGTTCAGGAGAAGACAGATACACCATTATGCTGTGTATACCCTTCAATTTAAAGCCCAGGAAAAAGGTTGTGTTTCTCCCCCTCCCCAGCGTGTGGTGTTTAAAGGAATGTAACACCTTTGCAAAACTTCACAGTCAAGTACTGACTGTTTATTTACTTGCCTTCCTGGAGACTGGAGAAGTTGAGAGCTCTATTTTCATACCGCAAAACACAAGAAGAGGATCATATTTTAAGTGTTGCTCATTGGTAGTGTTTGGACTGTGTATATATCAAAATGTTGTGAACAGCTTGAGTTGAATGCAAGCTGAAACCAATAAAAATCTGTAGGATAGCATCTCATCTAATGTGTTTAATAAAAGTTGGATGAACTTTCTATTTGACTCAAAGGAATGTAATCTTTTCCAGATACAACCTGGGTCTTTATTTTTTTTTAAAATATTGCTTAAGGATCAAGGCTTCACAGAGGGCAGTGTGTAGAGGGACATTATAAAACAAAGCTCTTCCCACTCAATTCTAGTGGCCAAGAGTCAATAAAAACTGCTTCTAAGAAAGAAGGAAAGTTCTGAAGTGCCTTGAGAACAGACTAAACGGGGGGGCATGACAGCAGATAGTGTTACTCCTGGGATCAGAACTGCAATGCTGACTGCAACAAACCCAAGACAGCTGCACAGTGGGAGAAAAAGCTCTACACTGGGGCAGCTGGTAAGCTTCAGATAAAACCTGAAGTTTCAGCACTGACATAATACAAGCTCTTTCAGTTATTTCCTTTTCAAAGGCAAGTTGCTTCTCTCATGTTATTCACTGCCCCTTCCAGCTGTGTTTGTATTCAACCCTTGAACTCCAGGCTGCTAAAAACACAGGTATTACCTTAGAGTAAACAGTATAGAATTCTCATAAAGAAGACTTAAACACACCCATCCATAAAGTTTTGTGCATGGTACAATAGATTTATGCAGTCAGCCCCCTCTGGCACACTGGCCTTAAAGCAATCCTAAAGGGAAGGCCACAGCATTCCATAGGCTGCTCTCCCAGTACTACTGTATGAGGGACCACTGAGTGAGCAGTGAGACGTAATTATTCCTGATGGCTGGAAACATCTGTCTAGATCCCCTTTGCTCCAGCAGGGAACATCAGGCAGATGTGAAAGTTGTAATATTTCAGTGCATGCCTGAGTGAATGACTGTTGTAAGGAAGAAGGTGCTTCTCACCACAACCTATGGGGAGAACCAGTCTTCTCTGGTTAATCATGATTTTAGGACTCTGATCACATGTTCTCTTTTAGAGACTCCACAGTTTTGAAGCACAGTACTCAAAACTGGACACATTCCAGCAAAGTATTACTAATGCCATGTAAAGCCAAAGGATTATTTTGAGTTTCACAGAAAAATCATGTTAATATGCTGTTTGTTTTCAATGGTGTAACACTGTTGTTTCCTGATATTATTTAAATATTGCTCCTCTTGGGACTACACAAGTAATTGTTCCTATCTTTGTACTTTGAACTTAACTTATTGGAAAATGGCCTAAAAAGCATGTAAATCAAATTTATATGAACTTTAACCTTGACCTTCAACATGTTTGCAACCCCTGTGACATAACGGACTCCTAAGTTCATTTTCTTCTTAAATGTTTAACATCTTTTAGCCTGCTACTCTTTCTCTTACCACATGCACTACCTATAGGTAATTACCTCCACAAGCATAAGATTTAAGAATACAGGCACACCTGGAGACAGGGAGAAGGTAGATATTGAGCAGTAAGGGCTCCTCTTCTTGTCAGGGAAAAGAAAGAACACTTGGATATGATTACAATCAGAAATTACTGGAATTACTCAAGGACTCTAAAGACATCCAAACACTTCCACTGATGGAAGCTGGACCAGTCCTTAACATGAACTCTGTTTTTGTAACATTTCATTATGTCATACATACTGCTTTCAAGACTACCTACTGATGCCAATGGGAACAGATGCCTTGCCCTTGCAAATTACTTCAATGAATAAAAACTTCCTGACACTGCTCTCTAGTTCCCCTCCCTTTCTCAGCAAGTCTCTCAATTTTGCAGCAAAGTCCCTCATTTTCCTAAAAGAGCAAACCCATTTTCACACTCTCATCCCTCTGTCTCTAGAGCACTCACTCCAGACTTCCATCATCTTGCTTTCACTAAATCCCACTCTACTCCTTGGCTAGCTGGCAAAGCCCTGGATGTGAGCGCTTGTGGGGCTGTAGTGTACTGAGCCCCCTCAGGTGGAAGTGGGGGCTGATGGTGTACAGGATGACTGCTCTAAAGCAGTAGGGAAGGTTTTCCTAGAGCAGGAAAGTGCAGGAATAAGGGCATGTTTACAAGTCACAGAACTCTGCCCTGTCTTCCCACTGGACAGCCTTCTCTCTAACACCTTCAAACATTCCCAGAGGCAAGTAAAACTTCCTAAAAGGTCACAGTTCCTGTGCTATTCACATGAGAACCAGATTTTCTGAAAAACCATCTGTTTTTAAACTAATCTTTGAACTCAAAAGCATAAAACTCCTAGACTGCCATGCTCTTGTGATACAGTTTTTAAACCATTTGGCAAAGCCCCTCTTCACTCTCTATTTTACATTTCTCCAGTCACAGCAGCAGGACTGCTATGGACTTTGTACCTGAAACTTCAACAATGCTCCCAGGATTCAGAAATTGTATTGAATGATTTTCAATTATTTGAGAATCTACTTATATAAGAAAATTACCAAAGATCACCTTTAGGAAGAAGCAATCATTGATAGTGAGGGGGTAAGTACAGAAAGAATACATCATAAGGTAAAGAGAAATAGAAGCAGGAAGTATCTCCCTTTTTATGTAATGCTGTAAGTTCTTTAAACAACTGATAATCATTGGCCTAATGCTGTTGCCACTGCATAATTCTTGATGATTTCTGTGCCTCTGGGGCATGTATATTTGAGAGTTAACTAATCAGAGTCACTTTTGGCCTCAAGTGCCAAGATCATTTCCATACAGAACAGTGGGTTGAAAAATTGCTTCTGCTTCAGTGATGACTGTCCCACATAAACACTGACTGGGTTGTGAAACCAGAGAAGTCATTCAGCTGTGTATATTTGAAACACCACTCTTATCTTTAATGTTGCCAAAGTAGCAAGATGATTGATTGGCTGGTGGTCCTCATTCACTGAGAAGTTTTGTTTTACTGCTGAGGTGATTCATTACATCAAGTCTTGCTTGAATCTGGGGTCCTTCCACAGATTTCTAGCCTGACAACCTCCGTTTACGGTTTTTAAAGAAACTATATTTAATTACCACTACTAAATTTAAGTGCTAGTTACTGTTTCTAGGCAGGAAGAGATATATAAGCAGGCTACATACTAAAATTATATAATTACACTTCCAATGTTTTCCTGACTCTGAGATGTCCATCTTACATTGAGGAAGAAAAGAGTTTTTATGCATATTTCCTTTTAAAATTCAAACTTACCCAATCTGCTATCACAACAGGTCACACTGACATAACACGTTCAAGTATAAAGCTGGAGTCCCCAGACACATGAAGTTAATGTTTTCTCTAGAGTCAATTGTGTAATTGGTAAAAGCAACAGCCTTAACTTCTAGATAGCCACATCTGGAGTGGGGGAGAGAAATACACACCCTCACAGTGAATTTATGACTGGTTTCTAAAGCAGGAAACAGCAAGACTTGGGATTCTAAGTTCATTTTTAAATGCCTTACAAGAATACTTCCAGTAACTGCAGGTACCTTTCCATGTTCTCTCTCTCTCCCTATTCCTCCAGCTTCTTCTGCTCATCTCCCACCCATCATTTCTCAGCCTATGCTGCACTACTTGTACATTTATAAATATGCCATATACCCCTTTTATTTCCCCCTTTGACTCAGAAACAGATTTTTAAAAATTATTATTATATTTTTAACATAATAGATTGCCTAGGAAAGTCTATGTGATTTTCTAAGCCAAGAAAGCAATGGGACAGATTCACCCCTGGATTATCTCCCACATATTCACTGGACTAATGCTAAAGGGGAATTTGGCTCTAAGACTTTTGTTAAGAAGAAGTTGATTACATTCACAAGTCATTTACCAAATAAAATTTTAAAGTCATCCAATAACATGGGGAGTACAAGAGCACAAGCAAACATCTGAACGTGAAGCAGATTAAACAAGCAGCTGCCAAGGGCAATAAACTAATAAAGAAATGTAGATGTATTTGACTTAGGCCAGGCAGACATTTATTGGAAGCCAAGATTAGCAAGCCTTACCACTTAGAGTTACATGATCATCTTTGGAGGCACTCTGTGTTTCTTTTAACTGGATCTCTGAGCTCACATCCACTTTTCTTCCAGACAGCTCTAAATAGGCTTTGAGAGATGCAGGTACCTTGACTGTAATTGAACCTGGTATAAATTTAAGTGAAAGCTAGTTAGTTTAATCATGAGATCAAAGCATGAAATAGTCCATTATTTTACTAACTTGAATCAAACCATCATTTGGTTGTGCTTGGTTGGGTTTTTTGAGAAGTCTTCAGAAACAGTAGCCTCTTTTTTTTGGTCACTTAAAGGATAAATGGAAGGATAAATGTTTATGATAAATGAAGGTGTCTTTATTTATCATAAACAGAGTATGTCACATGTAGAAAATGGTATCACAGTATTTCCTTCACAGACTTGAAAATAAATAGTGACATATATGTCAAGTAATGTCTTTTGTTAGAGGATCTTATTACAGGAAGGATCAAGGGAAACAAATATAATAGATCTCACAGGTATTATGAATTTAAGTTCATATTCTAGTTGCATATTGACATTCCAGAGCAAGGACAGGGCCTCAGACTTGACAAATAACTCAGTCACTGCATGGCACACGATGAAAGAATTGCTGCTCTGGAAGGATGAGATGCTGCTCACTTACTTTGAACACTGGCAATTGTCTTTGCTTTACTGCTTAGGGCCAGCTGTTCACATCCTCCAACAGATGCAGTCTCAAAACTGACTAACCAGTTTAGACTATGCATCACTAAAATGTAAACTAGTAGCAAAATTGCAGCTTTGGTGGCCTGAATAATTCTACTTTGAGATTAAAACCAGAAATTCTGACTTCTGCTTTCCCAAATATGTGCATCTATGCATCAGGCCAAAGGCAGACACTGGGCCCCCAAGCTGTCCACATTAGTCACCTTTGGAATAACTCAGTCACAAAGTTTGAAAGCTCTCTCCTACACATTAGATCAAAAACCTGAGAAATTCAGAATACACTGCCTTTTTATGTGCTCCTTAGTTTTTGCTCAATATCACCAATCACTACAGAAGAACATAAAAGATTCCTGACATACATCCCAGATGCTTAAGCAGAACATGGTAAAAAATACAGCTAAGAAGCACCAGAAAGCAACCCTAGTTAGACACAGCAAAATCACTTGCCTGTGACAGTTCTGATGAACAAATAACTTCCAGTATAATTTAGGCCTGCATTTTGCTGGATACACAAAAGCCTTAGAATAAGAAAGGGAAAAGGTCTTCATCTTTGGGTCCTCTTTGGAGAGTTGCTCAGTGATGACTCATAAAACCCGCACACATGCAGCTCATTTATCACAAATGGGACATTTTCTACACTGCAGCTGTCAGCAGTTATTCTGAATTTACAGGGTAAACAGAAACAGAACTTCAACTTTGCCTTTACTAAACTGTGCTGCCAGAAGAGATGTTAGAAAATATTTTGAAAACATTAATTAGCTTTTATTTAATACATTCCTCTTTTCTTCTAGCTCAAAGAGATATTAACTTAGCAAAATAAGTGATACAAAAGGTAAGCAAGAAATAATATAAACAAACTTCTTTGCACTAATGAAGCCAAAATATATTGTACAGAAGGATGCACAAATTATTTCAATTCATTGACACCATGAGTCCCACTTTGAGTAACTGGTAGGTTTTAACAGGGCACAGGCTTTGTTTCACAGGAAACAGAAGTGGACCAAATATTATGCTTAAACTACCAGAAGTGACTGACATGACATTAAAGTCAAGTGTAGAAATGCTGTGGTGTGTTTTGGCTTGTTTGGGATTTTTTTTTTGTTTGCATTTTGGGTTTTTTGGTGCCTTTTTTTTTTCCAAAGTACAATGAACAAGATATATTCAGTGCTTTGTAACTTACAGCATCGTATTTTCAGAATGGCAAAACTATGAATTCAACTTTAGGTGTGAGTTTTTAACTAAGAAGGGAAATTTTAGTGAGTAAGCAGGAGAGAAAATGAAGGAATATGGTAATGTAAGGTTCTCCCATCTTTGTTTCTCTGCCTTCAAATTTTTATAGTAAGACATTTCAGTCAGAAGGCAAGAAAAATAAATGTATGTGTGTCAGTTATCACTGCATATACAGCATCATGGAGAAAATTGTGCTTAAGGCAAAGGAACACTGTAACCCTAGTCAGCTCTGCAGAATTCTGCTGGGCATATTGCCAGGAAAAAAAAATTGAAAACACAAACACATTTAATCTATCTTAAGTCTTCTTGTCCCTTACAGAGCTTATTGTATTTTAAGGATTTATAGACATCTTCCAATAATGATGCAAAAATAAAAAGTAAATAACCAACAATCACAAACTATTTTTTACAGATAAAAAAGCCCCAAAACAAACTCCTATTTCCTTTTCTTTCACATCAAAATCTGCCACGAAAAATATTTGTTGTAGTTTGCTAACCTTTCTGGGATTTCAGATCCACTTTTCTTAATTGACTGACATAAACATCTATTGTCCCATGATATGTAGAAGCTTTTAGACTTCCATCTGATGAATCTAAAAAACAAAAGAAAAGAACTTGTATATTATTCACTCTTTTTAAGTAAACATTTGCCAGAATGTCTTTATACCTCAAACTGATTTTTATCAATTCTTCTGTGTTTGAGAAGTATCATAATAATTTACAGACTGTCAGCCTTCACTTAGAATAAGAGGTTTCTGAAAAAAACCTATCTCCCCACTCCAGAACTGGGGCACACACTGGTTCTCAGGCTGTTGCTCTGCAGTTGTTCTACCTCTACAAGGGCCCAACTGTACATCCTTCTACATGAATATTTTTATTTTTGTGTGAAAATCAAGCACAAAACTTGAATACTAATATATCCTTTAGTTTCCAAAAGAGTTCATTTGCTCAAACTCTGTGCAGGAAGAACTTTACCCAGGAAAGCTACCCCATGCAAAAACCAAGCAGCTGCTCACTGCAACCTCTTGTTACACAGAGTAACTGAACACAGGCTTTGTAAAGTCTGATTCACTACATTTGAATTATCAACAAATGTTTAATATGTGCAGAACAGCATTTGTTCTGTGCCTTGGAACAGAGAAGCCTAACTTTTCTTCTATACCTTATCAGCAGAAATTTATCATCATAAAACTTTGTGAAGAAGCATTTTTACAAATAGAAAGTCCTTAAGAAGTTTTAAGTGTACACTTGAGTAGTCATTATTTGCAATGTATTCCAGTTTTAAATACATAGACTTCCATAATATTAAGTGAAGTCCCAAAGAGTTTACTTTCAAACTGCTGAACAAGCTTATACCTAATAAGAATTGCAAAGAAATTCTAAAAAAAATCTAGAGGAGCACAAAAAATTACCTTGGTACACCAGCAAAAGGCAGTAACTGAGAGGTATTTTTAGAGACAATGGTAGAAATTGAAGTATTGGCAAGAAATTCTGAGACACTTACAGAGACTGGCTTCTGAATATGCATAGAAAAAAATCCAACAGCCAAACTGTTAGAAGTAGCTAAAAAAATAAAACTTGAATGAAACTTCCCATTTTAAAAAGTAAAAACATTAATGAGAGAATGAACTTGATTAATTAACAAGGATGTCTCTAACATTTTATGCTTGCCATACAGTTTTACCACTAAGTAAACTCATCTGGAGCTTTTCTGATCCCAGGTTTCAAGCACAGATGCCAAAGATCAGTGCATTGCTTACAAAAGCAAAAACACAGAAAAGAATCTTTATCCCACAGCTAAAGCTGATTTCTTTGGAAGAGAAAGTAATCAAAAAAACCCCAGCTAATCCATACTTAGTCAGCTGAGAAACTGAGAAGAGCTTTGACTGAAAAGAAAACATTAATAACTAGGACTGGATGTGAATGCTTCTACCATTTCAAGACTTTGTACTAAAGGTCTATTTGCTTGTCTAAGTGAAAATGAAATGTTGATTTTAACTGTTAATTTTTTTAAAAGGTTCTCATAATAGTTGAAAAGTTAAAGTCATTAGAACTGGAAAATTTTACATGCATCGACCTTTTTAATGCATGTTTTAAGCTGTGATCTTTAGAAGTTTTCATGCAAAAGCTGTTTTTGCAGATATTCCCCATCAAATTTAGTAACAGCCAATTACCAACTCCACATAACCTTGACAGAGATTTTGTTGGCAACAGATACAGGAAACATCCAGCCTTTGACTCTTCTGTTTCAAACAGAAGCTATAATAAGTTTCTTTATCTATTCTAGGAAGAAAGAAAAGTCTCCTGTGACAGAACAGCAGCTCTCTCCAGGGAGAACATCAAATAGTCACATACCACCAGCTGATGGTGCTTTAGAGGGACAACATTTATGCACTGAAGTCTTTCTCTTCCCACTGAAAAATGCAAAAGCAGCTCCTTTGAGATTCTTCCCAGCAGAAAGATAACTTTTGTGAATCTGCAAGACTGTACAAAGTGTTCTTTCCTAGATTGTCAATTAATAAATATTAAAATAAAAATAATTCCTGTTTTGTGAGAGACTGCATTGAGTTTGCAGGAGGCATCAACAAGAATAAAGGATGCAGAGGATGCAGGAGAAGTGCAGCAGGGACAGGCTCACCAAGGCACAGATATACCAAGGGAGCCAAAAACAACCTTGAGAGAAATGGAACACTTTTCCATTGAAAAGTGGAAGGATGACTTGCCAGATTTTGACTCCCAGAGTACCTTTTTACTAATACAAAGTTTCCTATGGCTGAAAAAACTTCAGCAGAGTTTCAAAACCACCAAGAAGCTTGGCAGCACTAACCAAACACTAAACCTGGCACTACAATACTGTGCAGTAAACAACAGCTAAGCTTTGACCTATGTAAGTAACATGAAATATATTTTATGGAAACACCTAAATATTATTTATTATTTATGTTATTCATTATATTATGTAATGAATGGTTCAGATATGATATTAAATACAAGTGTGTAGATACAATTAAGACTACCAAGAGACACAGAACTGTTCATCACTTCTGCAAAGTCCATAAAGATGCTGTTTAAAGCTTGTATCTGTAACTTAAATAAAGGGGAATGAAAAGAAAATGGATTTTAAAAAAACCCAAAGAGTGCCCAAATCCAGAAAAATAAATATTTCAACAATGAAAAATGACCCTATGCTAAGAAGTATAGGCTAATAGTATAAAATACATAACGAATGGTAACAGAGACAATACATATTTTATGGTTATGACAGATCAAGCCTAAGGCAATTTATTTTCAGATATATACCCAGTGCTATCTGATATAAATGTGAATAACTGATGGTAAAAATAAGGAAAAGATGTATAGCTTAAATTCAGAGTTTGCTAAGGACCGACAGGGGAAAAGGTTTTCTCCAGGTTTTTCAAGGGGGAGAACAAGGACAAAGACTTTTACTAGAAATGGAACAGATGGTCAGTCTTGTGCAGCTTTAGCTATTTAAGAATTTACTGGTACTAGAGAAAAAAAATGAAAAAAAAAGGGCACGGTGAAGCAAGATGTCCTTGGAAGGACAAAAGTCTTTGTTAAGTTTTATGAAAATTAAATAGAGCTTGAAGAATAAAACCTAAGTCACATAACTTGAGAAAGACTGCAAAAAAGATCAGTGAAAGGCCTACAAAGGTAACATTTAGTATCACTTCTCCCTTCACTTTATCAGCCTAGCACTAAAGAAAGAACTAAACAGAAGTGATCTTTACTTAAATCTAAGCAAAAACATGCTTTTCCCAATAGCACCTAAAGACTGACCTTGTTCATGGTAAAATCAGTGACAAAATCAATCTCTATAGGAACACAAAATATTCATTATGATTTGATTCTAGACTGGAGGAAGTATAAAATTCCAACATATTTGAAGTGTGAAGAAGATTGAATTCCTGTTTAGCTAGCTATCTAGTATATCTTATTGATAGAAAACTGGCAAAAATTCTTGGTTTAGATACTAGAATTGAAATCTGAAAAATAAAGTTTCTTCAACTCTAATATGTGGCTTAATGCTTAAGCTGAACCTGGTTACTTAAGGAAAATAACCATCATCTGTTGATGGAAAAAGCTACCTCCTATATTAAGAAACCTTTATTTAAACACTCTTATGACCAGATGTGTATAAGAGACAGATATATACTATACCTTTATTTAAACACTCTTCATACCCTATGAGTTTATTTAAGAGAAGGAAAAACAGCTCTGCAAGTTGAATTTAATTCTGTGGTTTAATGACTAACTCATAAGAATGTGTCTTGCATTCTTTTTCCAGGAATGCTAATATAGAGCTCTTAGAAACATAAGAAGAGTTGTTAACAGTCCCTGAACACATCTTAGAGATTGTCCCTGAAACATGCTTAGTGAGTGACTACAGTTAACAGCATCAGCAGAAGTCTTCAAGATTTGGGCCTGAGAAAATTTTTCTACATTCAGTAGATACACTGAGCCTTGTCTATGATTTTGTTACTTCAGTTTTCTGCTATAGCAATAATTAGAATTTGAGTTTCTCACTTTGGAGTTTGTGTGCTGTAAGATGCACTGACAGAAGGTATACCAGAACTGATAGCTATGAGTTATCCTGTCATATAAATGCCCAGGTTCCCAAAAAAAAGTTTATGAACTATTTTCATTTCTAAAGGGAAAACTATTAGCATAATAGTTTGACAACACTGAAATTATCACAAGCCTTCCCATCACTTCCCCAAATAAGTAATACATCGATTATTAGCTTCCCAATATAAAAATTAAACATAGCTAATCACTGATAGCAATAAATGTGAGAGAGAACTACAGTAAGGACACAACTGCATTTGATGCAGACTTGAGAATTTTCTCATGCCCTTTTATCCCATCTATATCTAAAAGGTAACAGCTAGACTCAGTCTCACTTGTGCAAAGTCCAGCAAACATTGGGTAGTATTAAGTGATACCATGTGCCTCCCCCAGCCACAAAAGGCTGAGTTTGGAAAGGGTGTTATTCAGTCACATTTATCAGTGCTACTCCTGAAAAGGAGGTGAAAACATCTGTGTGAAATCACCTCCTTTTTATTTCCCTTGAGAATATTTAGCCTTTAGAAAGGAGAAGGGAAAGAATAAGAGAGAGAGAGAGAAAAGGCAGAACCTACCTACTGTGATACTCCCTCTTTTGGTCTGAAGGTTGGTATTACCTGTAATGAAAAAGGGAAAAATGTTAGAAACATTATTGAAACATATTATTTATTAATTTTAATCTTGTTGCTTTACAAACAAAAGTCTCAACTCATGTGGGTAATGATTAAGTGATTCCAGACAAGAAAAACATTGAGTAAATTCAAAGACACCACCTGGATTTGAGGGAGAAAAAACACGTAGACAGGCATGTACCAGGCTAATGCACAATATTGTCTTAGCTTACTTTGGGCAATTTTTTGTTAATTGCTCTGATGCCTGCAACAGCACTACAGATGATTTATGTTCAACTGCATAAATAACAAACAGTTTCTATTTTCCTCTTTTATATACCTATACCCCATCTCTGATGGAGGGGATCTTGTGTTATCTGCAAAGGCAACTTCCTGGAACCATTGAACATTTCCTACTCTCTCCAAACTTATTATTTTGTACATGACAACCCCTTGCCAACATTTCCATTGACTTCAGTTGGAATATGTTGGACAAAGTGGAGACATCAAACAAAGTGTGCAAGGCACAAAATGTAAAATGGTCTTCTACTGAACTTGCATCACTTTAAACAGGCACAGGTGTTCCATGCTCAAAATTTCAAAACTTATTCTGCCCTTTCACTGATAATATCAAGAGCATCTGGAAGGATAACAGATATACCTCATAACAGAAGAGACATCTTTACTACTAATAGTCTAACTAAATTGTAGAAACTTCTCCATTTCCATGCATAAATGGGTCACAGGAAATGCTCAAAATTAAAAACTAAACCACACCATGTCATCCCTGCCATTCTCTCATCCTCCCAAGAGACAGACAGAATGGAGACTAAGGCTGATCACAGAAACTGAGTGCAGTTTAGTAATGCACAGTATCCATAATTTTAATATATTTCAGAAAAGGTTCTAAAAGTTGCAGATGGATTAAGTTCTACCCTATCTTGTGTAATTACACAGTGGTAAACAATCATTAGGGCAGAGTGCATTCCACTGTATATGACCTGTATTTTTCTTAGTGGTTCATGGGCTGTAAGCTAGAAAAGCAGCCTATCATCAACAGTCTTAAATTCATCTTTTCAAGCACATACTGTACAAAATACTTTGGAGTTCTAAAAATCAGAGCAGAAACAAAAGCATTTTTCAACGACCTTGAAAGATGTTTGCTGTTTATAAAAGGCATGCTATAATTATACCATCCTTTTCCTCATTTTATTATGACTGGCACTTAGTTTGGTACAACCTACAAAAAGACCTAGGGTTTTGTCAGTCAGCAGCTCCCATGAAGCAGCTGAAGGTAGATTATACTCTATCAGCATATAGCCCCTGGGTCTGTTCATTTTTCTGGGGGTTTTCTTACCTGTTTTGATAAGTAGACCCTTGAAAAATATTCAACATGTAGAAATCAAATTCCATTTAGATACATACTTACATGGCAGAACCACCAGTGCCGTGCAATGTCAACACAATGTATTGGTGTGAAAAGCTCACTTCAAACCTTTAGCTAGAACAAAAGCTGCTTTTAAGCAGACAGGAATGTCCTGCACTGTCCATAGACAGTGCACAGAACTGCACTTTTGGTCATGTACCTGTTCTCTGAAGGCCTACACAACTTAGGATTTTAAGTTAGGCAAGTATTTCTTGGGCATATCAAGGGCAAAGAGAGAAAGACCAGACTAAAGGTAATTAAACCAAATAATTGATTATTACAATCAACTGATTTCAGCATTGTAATACATGTAATGCATTATGATATTCAAAACATATTAATTTTATCAGAATATTGAGAGCAGTGCCTTAGTGTTCTGGGGGTTTGTTGCTTCTGAAGAAAGAGTTATCTTTTCTATCATCTACAATCTTTGCTTCTTCAATGAGCACTGTAAAATTTCAAATTACAGTATTGCAATCAGGATCGTATAGGACCCAGGGCAAAAGATGCCTTTTGGGATGTAAAGGCACCACTTTATGCTGTGTGATTTAAATGCCTTCAATTTGTTTTGGAGGCTCTCAACAAAGCATTCTTATGTCAATGCAGAAAAAAAGGAAAATAAACCATTATGCAACTTTGTATCACTTTAGAAATTTATTTTATTTTAATTTCTTTATAGACATGTCTGTACTTTAGTCTGATGAAAATGTAAAATGTGAAGCTACAATTCCACTCTACATACAGTGAAATCCAGAAATGTAGGGAACACACTTAGGTATACTTATACTTTGGTATATCAAGAGGTGTATTTTCTGGAGGGATCATGGAACTCTAAGCTCAAGCACTGGACTGCCCTGCCTTTGGAAGATGGCAGATATTTTACTTTGTCTTATTCAAATAATTGACAAGGCAGCTGTATGTTCACTCCTGTATATAAATTAGTGTGCAAATATATAAAGTAACCTCAAAAACCTCGTTTCCCAGTGCGAGTCTTTTAGATAATTGAATAGTTAATGGACTATGGCAGAAGAAAAGGTCAAGAGCAAATATGAAGTCCATCACAGCCTTTACTGATGTAAAGCAGTGTAAGCTGAGTGCCAACTGTTTGCAAGGAAGCTTTGCAGGTAAGGACTGGGCACGATCTCCAGTGGGAGTGAGTAAAGAAAGGCAGCTGCACACTGAGCTGTGTGATCAGGAGCACAGACAGCAAGTAAAGCCCTCTTGTGAGGCTTCACTTGGAATACTGTGTCCAGTTTTGTGTCAAGAAAGACACCAGTGTACTTAACTAAGAGATGATCAGGAATCCAGACCAAGCTCCAGATGCTCTGAGAGCATCTGTTTGGTTTGCTTTCAAAGGAGAAGGCTGAGAAGGAATCTTCCTGTGGCCTTCAACTACCTAATGGGAGTGTATAGAGGAAAAAAAGACATTCTTCTTGTGGTGATGCAGAAGAAGAAGGAAGAAGTAGCAATAATGGATACAGGTCATAATGGAAGTTATGATCAAAAAAGATTTTTCCCCACCAGAAGAATAATTCAGGAATGGGCCAAGATGTTCAGAAAGCTCATAAAATCTCTGACTTGAAAATACTCAAAGCTCAACTAGACAAGGCCTTGAGCAAGCTTGGTCCAATTGAGCCCACTTTAAACATCAGCTGGGAAGGAATTTGATATCTAGTCCAAATTTAAACTAGATTTATAAAAGAAGTTAATAGTTAATGCAACTCAACCCAAGACTTTGGGACTTCTGCGAAGAGGGGCTCCCTAGTCCTTCCATGTGCCCCTTGGTAGAGAATGTTATTGTCTCTTAGATAAAGAAGAAATTTCTCAGGATCAAATCTCTTTTTCAGGTGTCAACTCAAAAGCTTAATAGCACCTGACATCTCTAATGCCCATTACAGAAGCTGATGAAATTTACCCAAAATGAACTCCTTTCAAAACAATGCATTACTCATTTGCCACAGAAGCGTGAAGCATGCAAATGAGCAGTTGTGAAAGTCTGAGCTCTACCAGTGTCGTGATTGTACAGCCTGAGTTTCAACCACAAAATGTGTCTCAGACAGGTTTGTAAAGTCTGTGCTACCTTAACTTCAATTTTCCCAGTGCAAAAGCAATGAAATCCAGCTTAGTTTTGTGCAGGATGTGCTGATTTGGTGCCACCTATAGTGTCAGCTGTAGGGAAATGGTGATTTTAGTTGCCCAAGAAACAATCTGTCCAGGTGCTCACAGACAAAACCATTGCAACTGAGCTATCTTATGAGCAAAAATCAGAAGTGAAAGTAACCATTTTTTCTAGCAGACATTTATAGTAGGAATTATCTTGTCTGCTAATACATGTTTGTATGTGTACTTTAAAAGCCTTGGTTCTTACTATTAAAACATGATTGGAGAACATGATATTTTACAGAAAATATTTTCTTCTCAAAAAATAGAGTAAAATTACCAACCAAATGTTAATGGTCAATTAAAAAAAAAACATACAGCTAAAATAACATTAGGTGTTCCAAGCCCATTTAGTGAAGAGGTCATAAAAATAATCCTCAAATAACATAAGAAATGTCTACATAATTTGGATATAATTCTATTTGCTTTCACATTGTTCTTCAGCTCAATGGCAACAGGCATTACTGAAGAAAGTTATTAACTGCAGTAGTTATGATTTCATTTTTGTAACAAGAAAATAAAAATTAACTATTGGATGTGGAATAAGATGTGAACCTGCTCACAAACTGATCACTCCACAATATCATTACACTGTATAAAGTAAGAAAAACCAGCACAGCTTATAAGACAGAAGTTTCAGAAATAATACAAGCCTACATGTTAGAAAAATACAATAACAGGAGAAAAAGCAGTTTATTTCTGTCAGTGCATGCTAAAATTAACTTTATCTAACAGGTTTAGAAACCATTGTCACAATTCATTTAAATGGACAAAGCAGTTGCTCCTCCAAGGAGGAAAGAAGTAATTTCTCAAGCAAGATGACAACATAAAATTGCTAAGAAATTATAGCAAATTCCTTCTAAGGGATATAGCTGAAAATCTGGAACTCTGACAGAAAACCAATTTTCTTTGTACATCTTCCAGTTTGTTTTACTCAATGTTAAATCACCATAAATGCATTACAGCACAGTCTGAATTCAATGGGAGTTTTGTTAAATTAGAAAACCACAATAGATTTGAACCTCAGCTGCTGTTTAAATAAAATACTCTGTAGTTTATTAGTTTTAGATCTAGGGGAAGGACAACGAAGAGTGGATTGGTTTAGAGACTGCTAAGTTCTAAGAAACTTCTAAAAACCAAAACTCTCACCATGCTTAATATAAGGTGCCAGCAAACACACAGGCTATTTCTAATAAAAACTTCTAATTATGACTCTCTCCTACAATAGTTCTTGGTAGATGATCTGTGTTGAGTTAGAGTTGCTTCTCCTATAAAGAAAATAAAGGATAGGGAAAGGGGAAGAGAAGTCTCCTGACAACTTTTAATATAATTTTCATTGCTGAATTTTAGAATATTTTGTTGTTCTCAGTATGTGTGACATTTCTTTCATATAATATATGCTTTTTGCTATTAATAAGTGTGCTTTAAAAAAACTGCTTTCAAAAATACAGTCTGCTAGGTGGCAAAAAATCCATTAAGTCTCTAAGAGAAATTAGAGCTGTTTTGCTTGTATACTGTGCACAGCTGATTTAGGGATAGTCTACTGCATTAGTCCATTTGCTACTGTGAATGTTCCTGAACACCTTCAAAGCAGCTTCATTTGTGACAGGTTTCCTTCTTACCATGAACACTTCCCAGCATAATATCACCAGATTCTGAAGAGAGAGATGCTGATTCTGCATAGAGATACTTCGTTTTCAGCAGCCCATCTTCAGTAGATATATTGATGGTTGTCCCCTGCAGCTTCTCTATATTTACACTCTAGGAGAAATAAACACAATCAACAATTTGTCATCACAGCTTGAAAAAGCAGTGGGAAGTAACACTGTTAAGACACAAAACAAATGGAAAGCAGTTGTTGGTGCAGGACAAATGGAATCAGATTCTTAGTTAAAAACTACACAAGACAAAATAAAAAAAATTTTCATCCAAGAGCTCTGACTTAAAAACTAATGATTCTTCACAATATTCCTATGAGTTATTACATCCACAGTTCAGGTGAAGAACCCAAGTAGTCACAAACAGATGAAAGAAAAGCTTAATTTAATTTTCAAAGCTTGAACACTTCATTTTGAAAAATAAAATGAAGGATTGGCTTTAATTATGAAGACTGAATCTTCCTACAGCATTATGTCACTTGGAGCCCTGGTGATCAATCTTCTGCCACAACAAATTGAAACATCCTCTTTGTTACACATAGCTATTTATGAAGATTTTTAACTGCCTTACTTTGTAGATATATCTTTGGTGAATGTTTGCAAAAAAACCCCACCCAGCTATCCTTTTTCTCAGTATAATTTTCCTATTACATTGGTTACTCAGGCTTCTACCCTTGGACTTAAGCCAAAGACACAAAAAGCCTTGAAAAACCAGGGATAAGATCTCCATTTCTACTTATTTTCAATAGAAACAGAGAGAGGATGGAATATGAAAAGTTGCACTATGCATTTGAGAAATAAAAGGCAACAGATGAGATTACACAAAAGTGATGAGCCACATGATATGTCAGTGTATTTGAACAAAACAGAAAAATTCACATACTTGTGCAACAGCAGTATGAAACTGAACTCTATTCTCAGTTAAATTTGATTTATGATTGAAGAATGCAATAGTTCATACCCTGCTCAGTTTGTTTTTATTTTGCTTATGCAGACTTTCAGTGAATTGCACAAAATCCTTATTCATTACATAAAACAATACATGGCTTTCTAGATGAAACTGTGCCTTGCTCAAATGATTTTTAAATCCTCCTTGTCATTTTAGCATTGCCATCTTGTGCAAACAAAAGTTGATCTAAAAAAATAAGTCTGTCAACCCTTCCAGTCTAATATTATATAAAGAATAAGCTATGGATGAACCAAGAGATATTCTGACAAATTAGCCACTAGTGTTGCACAAACTCAGTACTGCATTGTATCCCAAAAACTAAGCTGAAGAGGCTGGTTTAGTATGGACTATATGACAGCCAAATTATACTCTGGCCTTACCCATCCATTCATGCTGAACTATTAAATTATAAGATTACAGAATGGACTACTGGCTTAAGACTTTTCCCATGATGCTCCAATGCTGATTAGATCCCCAATAATTTAGCAAGATACACTGAGCTTTAACAAAATCAAAATGCTACACATAACCTATGGTAGAATTAGAAATACATGACAGTCAATGTCTACAATCACTGCAGATGCTACAGATATAAACAAAATCCAAAAATAAAGGCACAGCTTGTCACTACTGAAACAGCCAATTCTGCTTTTCATCTTCTCCTGCTTGCAACAGAACCCTAATAACCAGAGATGTTAAACATTAATTGACATTGCATCTGTCCTAGGAATGCTTCCCACAAAGTGCTCCTCCACTCCCCAACCCTGCATGGCAAAGTGCAAACACCTGGCCACAGCAGCAAGTAAAGGCAAAGGCACTCTCATTTTATGCTCCATGACCTAACCTGTTCTAAGAGTTAAATGACTTGCAAAGAACATTTCCCATTTGAGCAGGTCCATCTCTGATATCAGCACAATGAAAATACAGCAAAGCACAATTTCAAGGGGAGGAATAAAATAAAAATATCTGCACAATCTGTATCCAAACTGGCTGCCTTGTGGCTTTCCTAATCAGGCAAAGGGAAGTTCAAAAAGCTATCTCTCTTCCTAAAGAATGCAAGTTTTAATTCTATTTAGATATATTACTTTATTTTAAAATTAAGTGCTTTATTGTAAACAATTTCACATACCAACTCATTTACTGGCCTCAACTACCTTTCTTAAAATAGAGTTGTCTCTGCAGAACAAGAGAAGTCTCTATAAATGATAAAACAAAAACTACCAATGGCAAGAACATTTGTTTCAGAGCAACCCAAATCAGGATATGGGCATGGAGGAGGGGACAGTCAGACTGCTCAAGCATAAGAAAAAAAAAGTATTTTGGATGAGGAAAACATGGAAAAATAGGATTGCTTTTCAGTGAAAATAAATATGTTTTCAATCCCGAATTCTTTAACTCTTGTGGATTTTTGGCAGAACATAAATGTCTGGCTCAACAAAGCAAGTGTTATAGAAAAGTCCCCATGGCATAGATTAGCTAATAACTCCCCAGCCAAACAAATTTCTTTATTTTTGTCCATTGAACCACCAGAACTTCTGGAAAAAATCCCTTCCCTTGGGCATAGAGCCTTGGGGTTGCAGTTACTGAAACTGACCACATGCTCAAGTTCCATTGGTTTCATCTGTACAAGTCAGACCAAGAAGGTTTTACACCTGAACATTTTCAAGATAAAAACTAACATCTTGCTATGTTTAAATAAGACATATACAGCTCCTTCTCCATATACTCCTGCTCTTGGCCTTCCTTGTTGTGCTATCATTGTTCAAATGTTTTTCTAGTGTCTTGTCTCACCTCCCCCCTTAAATATTCTTCATTTCTCAAGTGCTTAGTGCTTCATACCACATCCTCTCCCTCCCCACCTCCAGGAGGGGGCTGGAAATGCTGACAGAGCCACAATTATATAATGACAACTGCAACTGGTGGAAGAAACATCTCATACAAACACACAGAGGAGACATAAGGCTGACTGATTATTAACAGAAGTGGCCAGTTGAGAAAAGAAATCTGTCCTTCCTAACCACACCACAAAGTTTGTTAGTGAGAAGTTCAGTAACATAAGCCAAAATATCACTCTGTAGCTGTGAATTCGTGCTAAAATGACTCACCTCACTCAAGTTACTACAGCTTTACAGCTCTAAGATTGACTTGTAATATTACATACTATGTACAAATATTTACAATCACAAAGAAGCACTTCCACCTAATCTGTATGACATTTGTTTTATTGTTTCTGAAAAGAGCTAATTTTTTAAAAGCACTTAAAGGCTCAAAGTAAAACAATCTCTCAACTGTATTTTCCCATACAGATACAATTATTACATTTATTACATAAAAGGCAGTCTTAACACTCACTTCCAAAGAAACACAGATAAATTAATGGTGGCAGGTTTTGGAAAATCCAATGGCAATTTGCTTGGTTTACAGCAGGACATTAAGAACAGCTCACAGCTGGCTCTAGGTAAGTGAACTGCTCTGGGAACCCGACCCACAAGGTGTACAGCAGTGCCAAACAGCACTTCACAGAGGGGACTCTGCATGACTGGAACTTACTAGTTTGGTCTCAAATCTGTCCTTGGCAAGGGTGAATTACCCCCACTCTCTGACTCTTCCCAGTGCTGTTGGTTTAAAGGGTGTCTATGGGTTCTGACAGAGCACACATCCAAGCTGCTTCCAGCCTCAGCTTGGCTCCCCAGGGTCATACAGCAATACCTCAGATCTAATGAATCCTAATGCAACCACTTGCATGGACATTACAATACCTAAAAACAGGACTGGGTGTGAGAACTGTAGGGAGTTTAGCTCTACATTACTTTAAATAAAAGAGAATTGCCTACTTATGTCAAGAAACAAAACCAGAGTATAGTAGTTTGTGGTTAGTCTTATACTGCCATCTACTGAAAAAAAACCAAGCGAGTTCTCTACAAAACTGTTCTGATTGTTATACTTCCCACTGCATCTCACAGTAAGATTATATCATTATATATAAATTATATATAATTATATAATATGTGATTGTATTTCCTCAGCTGCAAAGAAGTCTGCAAAACCTTCTACTCTTCCATTCTTATGTAACACTAGAAGTGCATTGCATTTACAAGTATCAAGCCCCTATCCAGTAAAACTCCTGAGCCTTCTGCAGAATCCAAATGCCTACAATTAGCCAAGGAGGAAGTTTAAGAATGTTGTAAGGGGTCCATATAATTAAATAGGTTGTATCAGTGGAACAACCTCTCCACTGATCACATACTTATTCCTGCTTTCTATGGAGCCTGTTTATCAATCCAAATCAAGCATAGGATAATATAATTTAACAAACAAACCTAAGAAACAGTGAAACTGCAATGAGGGTTATTTACATATTCTTTAGCCCATCCTTTAAATTTAGTCCTTTTACAATAAATGAGGAGAATAAGCCACTGAAGAGAAAGTTTGACTTCCTACTTACCCCCTTTTCTGTTGCACAAATATCTGTATTTCCATAAAGTGTTCCAAGACCAATGACTTTGCCACCATTTGTCCGTATATCAATTTTATGGCTCTGAAAAAAGTTTAAAAATCATACAGTTAGGCTAACTTGTTCTCTAGTTATGGTTATCTTGTTTTTCAGGTTGTACCACATTAAGCACTGGAAGCCTTAGTCCTGCAAGCAGAACCAGATTTGACAGTGTTTCACTACACATAAATCCTAATTAAAATTTTATTGCATAAGGCAAAACTCAAGTTTTTAACAAATTAGCCAGGTTTCAAGTAAAAACTGCTCTATAGCCCTTACACCTTTCAGCTGTTGCTGCATACAACCAACAAGAGGAAAAAAAGTACAGAAATACACATAAATCAATCTCAAAAAAACAAAAAAAAAACCCCATCAGCTCTTGAGAATAAAATACAGCCATCTGTAAAAGAGAAAAAAATCAGATTTAAATAGATTGTTCTCTCCTTATACAGTAACACGATGAATTTAATATTTCAATCTGTCATCACAGCTCCTTTGAGGCAGGTACACCATGCTTGTTATCAGAATACTGGTTAAACAGCAAATCCTCCAAATATGTAACTTGAGGAGAATATGGGAATTTGCAAGATTGGAAAAATTAGTGTATAGCAAGGGCTCAGAGAGGCCACTAATAGTTCAGTAAAATAAAAAAAAATCCACAACATAGACACTAATTCCCCCCATTCCAAATTATTAGAATATCTTCCTAATAAAAAACAACCAGGCTTTCAGAGGTAGAAATCTTTAGAGACACCTAACAGGCAGAAGGATTTGCTGAGAGAAGAAACCAATTACAATGGTCAAACAGCTTTTTCACCAAGAGGAATTATTCCACCAGCTGAAAGAAAAAAGCACTAATTTATCACAGGGCTTCTCTAAGCAATGGAGAAAAGTTGGAAGAAGATGAGGCAAAAGGCTGTCAGGACCTTAACAGATGTCAGCAGAAAAGCAGAAAAATTTGTTCAGAAGAGAAGGACACTGGTGCAGGATGAATTGGGCTCAGAGGTGGTGTGTGGTGAGGAAGCATAGCAGGTCTCCCACCAGTGTGAGTGAGATGCCTGGAAATTATTGTTATCACCAGCACAGTCAAGGAGTCAGAAGTAATTGAGGAACATGGAAGCATAATTAAAGGGTTTTCCTGGTGGCATTGTTATCATAAGAACAACATAAAAAAAAAAATAAAAAGAAGCAGCACTGCTTTCTCCATCAAGAATTTGTGAATAATTCATACTCTGAAGAAGACCAAAATGCCATAACTGTGTTTTGGAATTACTGTTGCTATTAGTTGACCTAGAGACTTGGAAGGGATAGGGTGAACTGGACTTCAGCCAACTAAAAAACAACCACCACCCAAACAAAACAAAAAAAAATTCAATAAAACCACCCTCAATAAATCTCACTGGCTGGGTAACATGTACCACAGCAAAATTGCCAGACAAAATCCATTAAAAGCCTCATAGAGACTTCTCCTTTCTGTTCAATTACTAGTATGTATGATTAAGCAAAGCAGATGTCAAATCCCTAAGTCTATTGTAAAGACACTATAGATTGTATATATAAAAAAAAGCTTTTTTTTAAATTACAATTTATACTAACAACTTCTTGCAAGTTAAGAAAATTAGCAGTTGTGAAGCTGTTTGCTGGTCCTCTTGAATAATCCCTACATGACCAGCTTTTTTTTCATTTAAAATCATTTATCAAACATATTTTTCTCTCTCCTGTAAAGAAAGGGTTTCCTGCTTTGTTAGTTAATGATGTTAATAACAGCAAACCAGCATTAAAAGAGCTTTAATCCATCCAGGGGAGGGCACTATCACTTCAGTTTGCTCAGTAAATTCCCAGAAAGGGAATTGTCTCTTATGCTTCACTACAGCATCTGGTCCATAACATTTTCAGTAGTTTTGGAAAAACCCTGAAGGTTCATACTTCTTTTTCTCCCAAATAATTCTGCTTCTCTGATAATACAGAGCATAATTCCTGAAGCTTTATTAGAAAAAATTAGTTCAGTCATCTTACTAGAACTACAGTACTTAAAAGCAAGATTGGACTAAAACCCAGCTCTTAATTTTTAAAATTCAAGATATTTCACCTCTTGGATTGTATTTGAGACAAGATTCTCAGAAGGTAAGTTAGCAGTCTCCTCAAAACCATCTTTTTCCATGACATCACAAAAAAATTCTTGATGCGATGGCATGCCATGATTACTGTCATTTTTACTGGCCAAAGCCACCTTGTTTTCTCATGACCTGTCATTTTCATTACTACATAACAATTTTTAATGAAAATTTTAGATGGGCATCACATAGTACTATTAACTTCTGTGAGATTTCAGGTATTAGACTAGAATGGTCAATTACACAATCTGGAAGGTTCAAGCTGTCTATAGTTCCCCAGCTGTAGAGTACACCTAGCTCTATTGTATATTACACTCCTCCCTAAGCTCAGCTTTCCCTGCTTCTGTTATAAAATCATGTCTTGCTACAATAGAGAAAAATGTTGAAAAATTTTTCATATCTCAAAAAAATTGACCCTTCTCTTGAATTTATACATATTCCTGCAGGTTCAATCCCAAATAATCCCAAGTAAATTTGATTCCAAATAGCACCTAAATCAGAGAAACTGTGATTAATTTTACAGTAGCTTATGTCAGCAAACTTGAAGCCTTAAGACTGAAAAAACAACCTCATGCCTATGATACATACAGTATATATCAGATATATTTCAGTCAGGTATTTTGGACATGTAATGTGTAACTTCTGATTGAAAATTAACTTACAGGGATTGTCAACAGTTTTGATATACCAATTATTAAAAAACAAACAAAAAAAAACACACACAAAAAGAATCAGCAGCAAGCTGCAAAGTCTTGATTGAGCAGGCATAACTATTAACCTACTAGACAGGAAATCCCAGTCTATTTTGTTTTTTCTTTGAGGGGTAGGGAAGATAGGGATCAGGCTTACAGCTGTCACTGTTTCAGCTGGTTTTGGCTATCACAGACATGGACTTCTGACTCCTTGTTATTTATTAGTTTTGACTTTGTGCTGCAATTGTATGCAATAATTAAAGGTGAGGTGCTGTGCATATGGCAATATGAGTGTTGCAATGAGAAATACCAGAGCACTTCTCAACTCCAGAACTGGTTTTTAAGCTTTGACACTATATCCCACCACACAATCCCTTTTTGTACCTTTATTGACTGCAAGACACTAGTCCCCTTCTCTGTTTCTATTTTGCAGTTATCACATTCTATTTTCTGAATCTTCACACAGCCAGTCCCTGAAGTTTTGATATCCAAATCTAGAATTAAAAGAGTTTTATTAGCAACAGAAAGAAAAAAGTCAGACACCTTTAACATAGTATTTGATCATGTTATACAGTAACCACACATAGTACAGAAAAAGAACAGCATCTTTGTTACTTAAAAAACCTGCTTGCTGTGTTTGGCCACACACTTTGAACAGCATGACTAGTCACTATCAACTATGAATACAAAGTTTAGTAAGCCAGTGTTTAAGCCATCCAACTCCAAGAGAGAGCATTACGAAGATGAATGACTAACCTGTGGCAAGGAATAAGCAGGGTGTGAACCTCAAGTGAAGTCTCATCTTTTCTCTTCTTTAATTCCACCTCCATCTCCTATCTACCCTAGCCACCAATCCCATTAGAAATTCTACTCAAGACACTTGGGCACCTTGACACACATTTTGGGATAGAAGGTTGGCAGGTGTTTGAGGCCACATGTTGAGTAAAAAGGTTCAACAGCACAAACACATAGGCTTTGCTGCTCCACTAGCCAGCAGCACAACCCAAAACCAGGCGTAGAAGCATTGGTGTGCATAATTCTCCCCAGCCTTCTGGAAAGCCTGACATTGAAGAAGCATGTTCACCTCTAGTCTGAGTCACCTCACCTTGCTACTGTTCATAGACTCCCTCAAAGAAAAAATCACCAGGTCTTGTAGATAAGATGCAGCAGCAGGAAAAGCATTTTTCTGCCATTTGTCTCACCCCTGGGTTTAAGGAATGGGAAGAAGTTTGAGAATATTAATATAGACAGAATCCCCAGACTGTACAATCTTTTCTATAATCATTTGTATAAATGACCACCATAGTGGCTGGCAAAAGGTAAAGGCAGGAGAGGAAAAAAGTGATTTTGTTCTTCTAAGGATAAAAGGTAAAAAGAAAAAGAAAAATTGAAGAGCAATCGGAAGTGTTTGCTGCAAGACACAACTGAAGGGCTAAGAGACAGTGAGCCCTATTATTCCCTAAAAGAAAGGAGATTTGGTAAAGAAACCTTCATTTAAGCAAATGTGAAAGTCTTTCCTTCTGTGCCACTGCCTGCTAAAGTTACCAGAAAGATGAAAAGAATAATCAGAATGTGCAAAACAAGCTTTGCCCTGAAGAGATTCCAAGTCAGACCTTGGGAATTCCCTTGGGAACCTTGAGCCTGAAGATCAATAGTGTCACACTGCTGCCCAGGACAGCAGGGTCCTCCTGTCCTGCCTCCTGGAACCATGACAACAATAAGCTTGCAGACCATGAAGAAGAGAGATTGAGAGCTCCGATTAACAACAAATGGAAGTCTTGTCACCTGGCAAACTAGGAAAATCCAAGAGACAGAGGTAAAACAAAACATCTTTGCAGCAAGCATACTGCTCATAGCTGCAGTAAGCCAAGAAGTTAAATTTAGTGAAGGATGTAGACCAAATTCAAAGGTAAGAAAAAAGAAAAGAGGTTACAAAAGGTAGACTGGAAAGCAATGTTGTTTTTGAACAAGCTGTCTTGCCCAGACTGCTCAGTTCACCCACTGGACAACAGCATGGTGCTTGGGAAGGTCTACAACCAAGACTTCTGCTATTTTGCTTTCTGAGAAGAGAGTCCCAAAAGCCAGTTTGCCTGTGCAAATCCTTGAATTCAATCAGCTTGAAACCCTCCTGCTCTTACTGCTTCTGTCAAAAGGGATGAGAAAAAGACTCAAGAGTGCTCAGTTTAGCCATGGTACAAATTCATTAAGACTTTTACAAGAATGAGGTTAATTAAAAACTTCTGATCCTGTAGAACATATTATTGCCATAATTTGAAAAGGTGGTTTAGTAGTGTAATCCTAGCTATCAAAGCGGGTGTTAAAAAAGGACCTGGAAGTCTGGAAATTCATAAAAAAGTCATTAAGAAGTACCAGGGAATTCTGGAAATACACTTTGAGCAGAGTCATGCTACTTTGCTAGCCTTTACATAACAAAAATTAATGGACAAGTAATTGAGCCCCTCTGTCTCTTCTCTTCAGAGTTCCCAAACCAAGGATAAACAACTCCATAAAGAAGAAGACTGAAAGCTGGATAATATTGCCAATGAAATTTTAACAAGGAGGAACAAGATACAATCTGTTTCGGTGCCAAAACTCCAAAAATAGCCAGTTTGATTCCTCCCTAGCAAAGGCAAGGGCTGAAGCCAACTTTAGCCACATAAACCACAAAGAATGCATTAAGATCTTTGTGGTGTAAAAGACTTGTATCAGAAATTAAGGTATTTAGGAAAAAAATAAACACTTTGGTATCAGAATGTAGGCAGGGGTACTCCAGGGTATTTAAGCATTCCAGTTATTAAGCTGCCTTAAACTATAATACTTGGAATAGACTGGATAATTATTTATTTTCAGATTACTCAGAAGCCCTATACTACTAGAATTATCTCAAATTATGGTTATGCAAGACCTCAGTTCAGTTTACTTCTGCATACTCATGCAGTCAATGTACAGTAACCAGAAATCAAAAGGCTGGTTTCAGGCTTAATTAACACATGGAAAAATAAATAAGCTTAACTAAACAGAAGTTCCTTGACATCTGTCATTGATGAAGGTTGGATGTATCAGAGAGGATTATCAGATCATGTATGATATTGAAATCCTATACATAGCTCAAAACCAGACACTAAGACAAACTGAGGATCTTTTGGTACTTGCCCTACTAAGCTGCTTAGAGCATACTTAAGCTCAGCATCTTCCACACATGCTCTTCATTCAGGCTCTAAGGAGCTTTATATAACTTGCAGCTTCCTGGATAAACTCCAACCTAAATTGTGAAAGCTGTTATGAAATGCTTTAATTTTTCATGATCAAGACTTTCAGGAAGATTCCTCACACTGAAATCCTTTATGAAAGCTACAATTCTTCCCATCTTGACACAATGAATTCCACACCTTGAGAATAACCAGCTCTGGAGTGACTTGTAATAGTCACTCGGAGACCCTGGAGAAACTGAAATAGTAAAAGACTACAGTGTCCTGACACACCTGGTTCCAGAGAATTGAAGGGTAATAAATGGAACACTGGGTTTGTTTGAGTCTCAGTAATTATGAGATGGACTCTGTGAATGTGCTACAGACAAGCCAAGATAATCTTTGTGCTTGCCAAGCAAGGGAGAAAAAAAATAAAAAGAAGCACTGTAAGGTAGCAACTGAAAATTCTCAGGTAAGAGTCAAGACTACAAGACTCTTGGAGAAGAAAATCCAGTTGCAGTTCAGTGACAGAGCCAATGAAGAGAGAACAGACTTGGATTTTCAGATATCTTTAACAATAGCCTTAGTTCCATATTGTCTTTCAGCTATAAGCTATGCATTACCTTCAACAGTACAAGAAGCTGGAAATCAGCACAAATAGCAAGGTTCAAAACTTTTATCAATGACACCAAATTATTCAGACTAGTCAAAAACTCACTGACAAATTGCAGGAGGACCTTGGAATATCACATACTCAAATGATAAAGTAGCAGGAAATGAAACTGTGGGACTCTGACAAGAGTTTACCATGAAGCTCTCACCCTGAAACTGTTTCCATGCACAAAGGGACACTCAGCAGAGAGATCCACTGAGGAGTTGAGCTGTATCAGGCTCTGAGAATCCTGTGATGAAAACAGTTGACAGCTAAGAGAATGCCTAGATGAAATATCATTTACATTTGTTCTATTCCTACTCTTCTCTGAGCATCTGTTTAATGACCAGAGACAGGGCAGTGGCTGCTGGAGTCATGGTAGGAGTCGGTACAACAATTCTGACAGAGCAAAGCACACTGAGGGCATGAAGGGAGAGATTATATGCACAAATATTCTGTAATTAGTTACAAAATACTTGTGCATATATTAGTTGCTAGGAAACAAAACAGACCCTAAGCTGTGATAAGTGTATTTAAGAAACATCCCTTCAGTTATAAGGAGTGTTTAAAAAAATTAAATTATAGGGATGAGTAAGACTGGAAAATGTGAGAATGATGTTATGTCAAACCCATAGGACTTCTCCATTTTGAATTATATACAGTTCAGAAAACAGGAAAAAAAAAATACATTGTAGAATTTTCCCTAAGACACAGGGTGGGAAAAAAAGTAAGGTAAGATAAAAGGTGCAGAATATCTTTGCTGTATGTAACATCATATTTGGCAAAAGTTATAAATTAAATATATGAAGAGTAAGTAGGGTGGGATTATTCATAGTTTCTCGTATCACAACAGCAGCAGGGCATTAAAATAAATAATGCAGCCGTCTTTAATAACTTTAAGAAAACAACACACCATGTGCATTGTGCATCAAAAAGTTTTTCCAGCATGATGAAACATTCTGCACTGTATAGGAAATTGCCCAAATCCATAGGAAAATAAACCAAAACCACATTAATGACTGAACACAAATCTCCAAGTTTGTA